TCCAAAAAAAAAAAAAACAAACAGCATATGGATACAATGCATTACTCACCCTTAAAAAGAAGTAAGAACTAATAACTTCCTACATGTAGGTAAATGCTGAAAACAAAACCAAAAAAAAAAAAAAAAAACAAACTAGCCAGGCACCTATAGTCCTGGCTACTCCCAGCTACTTGGGAAGCTGAGGCAAGAGAATCACTTGAGCCCAGGAGTTTGAGGTTGCTATGAGGTATGGCACCCTTGCCTGGGCAACAGAATGAGACTCTGCCTCAAAATAAATTTAATTCACCCTGAACATATTGGTCAAAATTTCCTTTCTATACCAGTCTGTAAGTTCAAGACAGCAGCAGTGTCACAAAAGAGTATCTTTCCAATACTGAAAAAATTTTTGCTGTATTAATTAGGAGAATCATGACTTAAGAAGCAACATACAGGGGATGGTGCCTGTGACTCAAAAGAGTAGGGCACTGGCCCCAAATGCCGTAGGAGGCAGGTTCAAACCTAACCCCGTCCAAAATCTGCAAAAAGAAGCAACAGACACCATTCACATGATTTTATCAGTCTAAGATTTTGGCCTTAGAACCCAATCCTCACAGGTGCCTCCCCTGTGCGATAAAACAAGAGGACCAGGAATTATATAAAACTTACCAGAAACAGCTTTACTATGGCAGGGCACAGTGGCTCACGCCTGTAATCCTTGCACTCTGAGAGGCCGAGGCAGGACTGCCTGAGCTCACAAATTCAAGACCAGCCTGGGCTAGAGCAAGACTGTCTCTATAAAGAATAGCCAGGTGCTATGGTGGGCACCTGTAGTCCCAGCTACTCAGGAGGCTAAGGCAACAGGATTAACTGACCCCAAGAGTTGCTGTGAGCTACGATGCCATGGCATTACCCAGGGGTAACAGAGTCCATCTCAAAAAAACAAACAGAAAAAAAATTCCCTGATACCCTGATAAATCTTAAAACATGTTTAAGGAGAAGGTCACATATGATGTTCTTAATATTATATACAACTATACACAATATACAAGAATTAAAGGTTTAAAAAGCTAAGTCAATCAAGCCCATACCATACATACCCCCTTTTCCATCCTCTAAATAGGAACACTATTTTCCCTTTTATATTACGGGTCAAGTCCTCTGAGATGATGGCTTAAAGATTTCCAAGTAACTATTTCATCTAACAAACAATTAAAGTACATCTTTACATTTTCACTATCATCTATCTGTGTAGTGCCATAAACATCACCAGTTGCAATTTTTTACTAAACCTTGTTTTCCTTAAAGTATTCACTGTTCCCTAGGATGTATATCTGATTACCCTTTCTTTGCTTACATGAAAACTTGCTAGTCTGGACCTTGACACACCACCATCCTATACTTTTCATTCCTCTAAAAATGAAAGTTGTTGACAACTTAGACACAGAAGAACGCAAACGCAAATTCTCACATTACAGTTACATCAGCAATTATACCATTTCAGAGAATTTTCTAAAGCCCCTTCAGGACCAGGATACCAATGAGGTTTTTTACCAAAGCATTCCTGGAAGGAATTGCTTATCTCCAACATCTCAGTGTATGTGCTAACAAACACTCAAACTTATGAAAAAAAAAAATAAACCTAAATTTAATTAAGCACTATGTACCATCCATGGTCATTCTTCCCTTGAGATCTTTAATTCTTACTCATGATAAGTGATAAACAATTTTTTTTTTTGGTAGAGACAGAGTCTCACTTTATCACCCTCAGTAGAGTGGAGTGGAGTCACAGCTCACAGCAACCTCCAACTCCTGGGCTTAGGTGATTCTTCTGCCTCAGCGTCCCAAGTACCTGGGACTACAGGCGCTGCCACAACGCCTGGCTTTTTGTTGCAGTTTGGCCGGGGCTGGGTTTGAACCCGCCACCCATACTCGACAAAAGTATGGCGCTGGCGCCCTACTGAGCCACAGGTGCCTCTCAACAATTGAGTTTATGTGTAAGTCTGATATGCAGTCATTTTGATTTTAAGCTTTTTGTTTTTTGCAGTTTTGCTGGGGCTAGGTTTGAATCCACCACCACATGGGGCCAGCACCCTACTCCTTTGAGCCACAGATGCCACCAATTTTTTAAGCTGTTAACACGACTCCTATTTTCTGCCTTGTCATGATGTTTTTCTTGTTGTGTGATGTTGTTTCTCGCGAGGAGAGAAGGATGGCTTGGCCGCGGGCGCAAGCTCGCTCCTAGAATTGTTTAAAAGCAAGAAACGACTACACACTCTCATGTGGCATGTAGCAAAATGTCTTTATTTTCTACTTCCTTTTATAGGGAGCTAGTCACTACACCACATTGATCGATAATCCTAACATCCTCGTCTTAAACTATAGAAAAGAAAAGTCCAGGAACGTGAGATAGCCATCGTAAGATTAGCCTGAAGAAAGTAAGTCCAGGAAGACAACCAACTTAAGCTAGCCTCAGGCTATTCCTCTTGGAAGATCTAGAAGAACAATACATTATCTGACTTCTATCGTTGAAGTTAGAGGTTAGGATAAACAGAGGAGTAAAACCTTTCTCTTTTATGTACTCAATTAAATTTCCGAGAAACTGGCTTCATGACTGTTCTCTTATGGCTTTGGAGACCCTGCAGTTACCATGGAGTATTTTACTCGATGTCATTGCGATGGAGTTTTTCTTTTTACTCACATCCACCTTTGAGTCATGTCCTCTGCACAGATGGGCCGTTTCAACCCTTATCTGACAGGCTGACTTGACTGCACAGTCGGGGTTACCTGCAAGAGGTTTTTACACCTGGCTTGCAGGCCCCCACTGTGTTTTCCCAGGTTGCTTAGGGCCTCGACAAAAGCACATAATACTCAAGTCTTTTCACTCAGTTCTGGAATGAAAAGAGCACATTTCATTTAAATTTTGTGGGGGTTTACCCCACATTTTCTTTTTTGTATTAGCTTAGCTACCTTATGTTTTTGAAAACCTAACTTAACTTCCAGATTTATCATCAGTGCCTGTTTTTTTTTTTGGAGACAATCTCACTTTGTCGCCCCTACCATAGAGTCATAGCTCACAGCAACCTCAAAACTCTTGGGTTCAAGCAATTCTCTTGCGTCAGCCTCCCAAGTACCTGGGACTATAGGCACCTGCCACAACACTCAGCTATTTTTAGAGATGGGGGTCTCACTCTTGCTCAGGCTGGTCTTGAACCTGTGAGCTCAAGCAATCCACCCACCTTGGCCTCCCACAGTGCTAGGATTACAGGCGTAAGCCACTGGGCCTGATCAAGTATTCTCAGATTCCATTTGAAGTATGTTTTCAATACATACGTATGTACCAATACTACAACTGAGGGACAAAACAATGAGACAAAAGAATTCAATGTATTAGAAATTACTGATATTGTCACATAAAATCAATTGTAAATAGTACTTTATTCCAGTGTAAATTACTACCAAAGCTTGACCTAGCTTAATACACACATTAAATCATTTCCAACCGTATTTTAAATCCCAAAGACATCTCAATATCCCTTTTAGAATCTTAATTTTGTTAATAAGGAACCAGAGACCACACAGGCCAAAACACTTTGTGGAAATAAAATCAGTTTCCGTTAATTACAAAATGAATGTAACCAGAGCTGTTCTAGCAGATTCTCTTCCACAAAGTCCATTTATTGTAACCTGCTTACCACAGTATATCAGACTTTATAATGTACAATAGAAATAGGGAATTTTGAGAAATGCTCAAGAGTCACAATGCATAGCACCATTTTTAAACACTCATTACCCAGTGGCCAGGCACAGTGAGTGGCTCACAAGTATAATCCTAACACTCTTAATTAAGACCCCCAAGTAGAATGGACTGCTTGAGCTCAGGAGTTCAAAGCCAGCCTAAGCCAAGAGCAAGGCCCACAACTCTACTAAAAATAGAAAAAACTAGCCAGGCATGGTACCGCCTGCCTGTAGTACCATCCACTTGGGAGGGTGAGTCAAGAGGATCTCTTGAGAGGAGTCTGAGGTTGCTGTGAGCTACAATGTCGCCACGGCATTCTACTCAGGGCATCAGAGTGAGACTCTGTCTCAAAAATAAGAAAAATAAAGGCTCATAAGTCCAAATAGCCTTTCAACTCAGCTACAGATAACCACTTGTCCTTTAATTATAAGGTACTAATTTTACACAGGATAATTTTACTAAATGATTTTCATAAAATCCCTCTAAGCACATTGCCAAATCAGTTTCTAAAAACATACTACTTACTCTTCATCATCGTCATCATCATCTTCATCATCATCGTCATCTTCATCTGCAGCAAGTTTTACTTTTTTCTTTTAAAAAATAAAAAAGAAAAACCTCATGGGCAAAAACAATCACCAAACCACAAGCTAGAATTTAAGACCTGTAGTAAAAATGCATCCATACCTGTGGAACTTTGCTACCACTTCCAGGGGCAGATCGCTTTCCAGACATACTTAGGAGTTTCACATCCTCCTCCTCTTCATCTTCTGATTCTGCATCTTCTTCCACAGCTAAAATAAAAGTCTTAGACATTATAACTCAAGAACCAAAAATCAGAAAGAATATTAATAACAAATACACTATTCTAAAAACTTGAGATTGTATTAGCAACAGCAACTGAGGAACAAACTTTTTTAAAGGAGGCCAATTTTTATAACTAGGCTTTAAATGCAAAACCAGTCCTCTCCAGTTATTAATGACAACATTCCCATTTGAACCTATCATAAATACAATAGTACTACAACTAACTATGCCTTTAAAAGTCCAAATTTACACAACCAAGCAACTACATTAATGAGAACTAAATGCCAGAATATATAAAAATAATAACATACCTACTAAGTGCTGCCCACTAATATGCACAGGCCCTGAACCGCACTTCAACCGTAAGACCACAGGTGGTGTTATTTCAAATCCCCCAAGAGAAACCTAAAAAGGGAGAAATTTTCAATCACCGAATGTGTAGAAAAAAATAAGCACTATAGGTAAACCTACAAACCAGATCACGACCAGTTAACCTGTTTTTTCCCTCTCTGATAAACAATCAGCAAAAACCACCTTGTTCAAGAGTTTACCACTCAACCCTACAAGTTAAGAAACTGCTTAGTTTTTTATCTCCTTGGTACAAGTTTTTTTTTTTTTTTTGAGACAGAGCCTCAAGCTGTCCCCTTGGGTAGAGTGCTATGGCATTGAAGCTCACAGCAACCTCCAACTCCTGGGCTCAAGCGAGTCTCCTGCCTCAGCCTCCCAAGTAGCTGTGACCACAGGCGCCCACCACAACGCCCGGCTATTTTTTGGTTGCAGCCATCATTGTTGTTTGGCTGGCCTGGGCTGGATTCAAACCCACCACCTTAGGTGTATGTGGCTGGCGCCTTAGCCACCTGAGCCACAGGCACCGAGCCTCCTTGGTACAAGTTAAATGACATACCTACCTTAAAGCAACAAAACTAATCTTTAAACACAAACCATAAAGTGCCCTTACCGTTGGCTGTACGGACATTTTCAAAGTTGCCAATGTTACTTTAATTGGACTCCCTTCATAATTCATTGCCTCTGCTTCAACAATGTGCAACTCATCCTTTGCACCAGCCCCTAAACTGACCTGTGGGGAAAAAACAAGACAAAACACTACTTCAAGTTCCAGCTGTTTTACAACCCCTCCTAAAATTTGTTAAGTACAGCCATGAGTCGCTTAACGATGAGAATACATTCTGAAAAATGTGCTGTTAGGTGATTTCACATTTGTAGGATCTTAAAAATGTACTCGTACAAACCTAAATATTATAGCCTACTACATACCTAGGCTATATGGCATAGCCTCTTGCTCCTAAACCACCAATCTGTAAAGCATGTTATTGCACTGAATACTGCAAATTGTAGCACAATAGTGTGTATTTATCCATCTAAATATAGAAAAGGTACAATAAAAATAGGTTAATCTTATGGGATGACCACCATTATGTATGTGGTCCTTCACTGACCAAGCATCTGTAATGTGCCAAGCATCTGTAATGTGGCACATGACTATTTTTAAATAATCAAGTATAAAGTATAAAACTTTCATTATTAGCAATTATGGAAAACAAATTGTGCAGTGTCTTCAAGTTTTGTAACCTTGGCAAAACAATTTTTCATGTTCAATAAACTTAAAGAAATGCATAAAATATATACAAAGTACTTATTACCAAACAAATATTTATAAAGTAATTACACAGAATTGAGCTCTAAGCTAGTCTCTTGTGAGACATGAAATTACCACTACCCTAGGAGCTGTAAAACACAATAAATACATAACTGAAATGCAGTGACTGGACTTTACATGACTACCAAATGAGTGGTAAAGATGCCAAGTAAATTTATTATAGATGGACAATGAGGTACACACAATATCAAGTTATAGAAACACTCCTATAAGCAGTCAGTGAAACAAAGGAAAAGTCTCAAGCCACATGAATAGGAACCAAAAGGCTGAAATCAAGAAAGGTGAAATAGTTTATTTTGAAAGTTTAAGTACCGTTCTTAAAGATAACTGGTGCTCATTTTCATCATTATCCACCTTAAAGTGATAATCTTTGTCGGCCTTTAGTTCACAACCTGTAAATGAAGAAAAAAGCAACTCTAACAAGGAGAACAAGACACTGAAACTGAAGAGTGGGTAACCAAAGGTCATGGTTAACTTTTGAGCTAGTTTTTCACTATTTTAACTACTAGAGGGCAAAGCAGAAAGATGCCTCTTCTGGATTTCTTGAACATGAACCTCCATAAAGATTAAGTAACACCCTTAAAGACTGCATATTCCATTTTCTCACCATCCCATTTCATTCCTAACTATATGAGCTACAGGAAACATTACCACTCTGCAGATAGAAGCTGAATGATTTAGTAAATCTGGAAATGAAACATACAATGTTAACTTCACATTACTTTAAAAAGCTGAATTATCTACCTAAACTCCCTAGTGGCAAATCAGAAATGAGAATGATTACACAAACATGAATAGCTTATTATAATTACAACAGAGACAAACATACAAGAACCACAGCTTATTACGGGGTCAACATTCCTCATATTAAAACATATTTAAAGGATGTTTCCAATAGTTAACAATTTTCAGATACGAATTGGTCAGACATTTTAGCTATCCAAAATGAATGGGAGTAAAGCCTTAATGTACACACGTGTGTTCTTTCACTATGTATGGGCGAACTGTTTTGAATACTGTCAGAATCAAAATTATATTTTAAATGATTCTTTTTGTCATTTAACAGTTACTGGTACACAGATGCTTAAATACAGATACGCAATTTAAAAATCTCAGCGTGATAAACATAGATAAAACTTGGGGTAGGCTGTTTGGCAAAAAAAGATTAGACTTCTGCAATTAAGCTTACTGAGACTGAAACCCAAAACAGGATTCTTCCTGGAAGTGCAGCGAGTGGGTGTTGGAGCTAGGGAGGGGTCCCTCAAAATCCTGGTTACAAGATAATGAATTACAATATTCTCAGGAATTTAATCGACCCTCTCCAAGTTTTACTGGTCTTTGTTTGCTCAATGCTATACAGAGGGCTGCCTGTATTACTAAACCCACCCGCCACCAAAAAACTATGCCTCATTCATATTCATAAAGAACCAGCTCTGGTGGGGGACAAATTCACTTTTCTGAGCATCAGTACTATCATGTGCAGAGGACTAATTCCACCAATTGCAATAGGGCAGAAAAGGACTTCAAAAATGATAACTACCATCACGGTGTATGTTATTAAGTCTGAACAAAGACCTCAGAATCCTGGCGCGACCAGCCACTTCACCAAATATTTCCCGCCTAACAGCTTCAACTAAGCCGCAAGATGCCAGGTCGAGAAGTGACAAGACGCCGGTGTGTCCCGGATGTGGCGCCCCCACCCCCTCCTTTCCCCAACCACGTGGCAACCACGTGCTTCCAGCGGTTGCGGCCTCCTCACGCCCCGCGGCGCCTCCCCTCCCCCCGTACCTAGCCGAGGCAAAGGGATAAGTCCCGGTCCTGGAGCTCCAGACCCTGAAACCTGGGGTCTGGAGAACGCCAGGCTGTATCCAACCCCTCCCCCCGCCCCGCGTGTAAGCGCAAATAACCTCCTGGACCACCGGGAAGTAGAACACTAACCAACGCATTCGCTGGAGTGAAAAAACACGGCTGGGTCTCTACCGCGCACACCAGGCAACACCGAACCGTCCGCCGGCTGATTCTATCTTACCTCACACCCTGGGCCTCGGCTGCTCACGCTACAGGCTGTTCGCGCCGCTCCTACTTCCCACCCCTCATACCGCCGGTTCCCCTTCAGGCTTCCATCCCTCAGGCGCTAGAGCTCCAGCAGCTCGCTTCCCACTCCCTCAGGGCTCCAACCTGCTCAGCTTTCTCGACCAACACAGGCCTCAGATTCCCGCCCCCCCCCCACCTCAAAGCCACCAGGCCCTACTCGGCCTTGCTCCAGGTCCCACAGCAGTTACCGAAAAGATAGTTCTGAGGCCTCAAGGGGCTCATGTCCATGTCCATCGAATCTTCCATGAGGTGGTGGCACGCACTTAGGTGGGCGAGAAGGCGGACGGAGATAAACGACTACTGCTCCAAGGAACAGCCGCGCAGGACGGAATCACACCAGGGAAAGGACGCGGGCTCCCCGAGTGAATATATAGCCCCCAAATATCTCGCGAGAGCTTCTCAAGTCCCGCCTCGGCGCGCGTGCTCAGAAGCTCCCCTCCCCGTACGCTCACCCTTCTGCGCAAGCGCTCTTCAACCTCTCCTTCTTACCTCACCCCCCACCTCCTCCAGGTATTTCGCGGGCTCCCACCGAGCACGCGCAGCCGTATTGTGGCCCCACCCCTCGGCTGGCGTCGCCGGGGCTCGGGCGTGCTTTCTCCTGGTAGCGCGCGCTCCCACCTCCAGCCTTTCCACGTCTCTCCCGCTCGGGCGCGCCGGCCTCTCGCGAAGAGCCGGCATAGCCCACCCTGCAAGATGGCGGCGGCAGCTGTGCTGCATCAGATATGCAAGGTTAGCTGGTAGGAGATGAGCCAGTAAATAGCTCGTTGCACCTCTCTCCGTCCCCTGAGGCCCTGCAAGCTTCCGAACAGGCATAGTCACTTCAGGACTTTTTTTTTTACTCGTCTCTTAAGGCCTAGGGTCGGAGTCAATCGTTTCCTCAAAATTAAAGCTTTAAGTGTCAGAGGCAGAGTGGAGTAGGGTTATTCTTTGTTGGATGCAAAGGTAGCTACTCTCCATACTTATTCAACTATGTTTTTATATCTCTGTCCTTTCTGAGAAAACACTTTAAAAATTAAAGGGGATTGAGTCAGCCTCCAACGAGCAGAGCCAGCATCCTCCTGTAAAGCTCGAGGGGTGTGCAGACTGCGGTGGTGCAGCTCTGAAACTGTACCATTGCGGATGGAAGCGAAGGACCTGTACGAAAGGCACAAACCTCAATTCGAATCTTCAGGAGTGAGCGTAGGAACTTAAGATTTTAAACTGCAGCTTCACAAACGATGACAACCCCTGCCCCCTCCTTTTTTGAAGGGGGCGTTTTGAAGATCCTTTCTGCCTCAGCATATGAAGCAAATTCAAGAAGTAGTGTGAGAAATAAAAATAATGATAGCGATACCCCTTCTTTCACTCCCTTTTCTCCAAATACAATCTAGTTGGGGAGAGCCACTATATCCCACGAACCTATCAGAATCTTAAATGAGGAGAAATAAATAACTATCCATATGTGAACGGGGCCAGCTGTTTTAACCTTTTCACCATGTTCAACTTGTTAAGTCTTTAACCAGCCTGGTTCTTAGATCTTTTGAGATGCAGAATAGAACTAGTTGCTACAGAGAATCCTGAAGCTTGGAAAACATCTATGTAAAGGAGCATTGTAAAGGAACGGGATTGAGAGGACAGGGATGGGACTGAGAAGGATCTGGTCGTTTAGAATGAGAAAGTCTCAAGAGGAGGTATCCAAGAGTGGAGAAGGTGTTAATGATCTTTGAACTCACACATATAAAAATTGGAACTACTTAGTAATTTCTTTCTGGATTCTGGACCATGATTGTTTAAATGCATCTAGGTACAGAGCCTGAACCATATGGGAGCCATTTCCAATGTTATGTAAATAAATATATTTGTTGTTTTAACATTTCAAACATGCGGAGTGTGTTTGTGATCATAGAAGCCAGTGGTTAAGGAAAAAACGTAGTGTTTTCAGATTTACAAATGTAATGAATACTCCCTGTCTTTTTAATTAAAATGAATAGGCCCATACAAAGTGAACAGGTAAAAGTACCCATCTCTGTCTCTTCATTTCCGTTACATAGGGGTAACCACTATTAATGGTTATATGAGTATCCCTTAATTATCCTTTAAATCAGTGGTTCTCAACCTGTGGGTCGCAACCCACAAGAACTGTATTAAAGGGCCACATCATTAGGAAGGTTGAGAACCACTGCTTAAATTATGTTAGAGGGAGAGAAATTATATAGTTGAAGGTTTTTTTTTCTATTTTAATGTGAGTGGCCCTGGCCAGCTAAAACAGCAATGACAACTGCAACAACAACAAAAAGCCGGGCATTGTCGGGGCACCTGTAGTCTCAGCTACTCTGGAGGCTGAGGCAAGAGAATTGCTTAAGCCCAAGTGTTGGAGGTTACTGTGAGCTGTGATGCCACTGCAGTCTACCGATGGCAACAAAGTGAGACTTTGTCTCAAAAAAAAGGTTATCTAAAACCCTGACCACTCTGTAGTCCAAACCAAAATTTAAAATAACTCTTTAACAGTATGAATTATCAAGTTCATATATCCCCAGTTGTCTCTTAGAGTTGATTTGCTTGAATATAAGATCCTCATTTAACATACTCCTTTATCCTGTGTATTTTCTGTAAATTAGTAGATTAAGAGCTGTACTGTCAAATGCAGTAGCCACTACCTACATGTGGCTACTTAAATTAATTAAAATCAACTAAATTTAAGGAGCAAGTTGCTCAGTATCATTAACCATATACTTGATAGTCACATGTGGCTAGTGACTGTAGTACTGGATATCACCCAAAACATTTCCATAATTCTAGAAAGTTATATTGGACAGTGCTGATCTAGAGGCTTAACTAGATTCAAGTTCACTTTTATGGCAAGAAATGTATTGGTGGCATGAATACTATCCTATTATGTGTCAAGGGGCACATAATATCTGGCTATTTCTCTTGTTAAATTAAGAATTGTCAGCCTAATACTTACTTTGTAAAGTTCACCATTTACTTTTACCTCAGAGTTGTAGTAGATTATTGTTTCAGATCATTGTTTCTAATTTTGTCACTCCCGCTGCATTTATTAACTGGAATTCTATAAAAGAGAACTTTCCCTTATCTGTTTGGTTACCTTGAAAACTAGTTTATACAAGAAAGATAGGAAAATGATTCAGTCTTTCCCTTTACTTACTTGTTTTCACAATAACGTGGAATCCTAACAGTCTACAAAAGTTAGTAATTTTTTTTAGTATTTTTAAGTGCACATGAATTTTAGCATAGCTAGTGTTCTTTTTTTTTTAGACGGAGCCTCAA